CACCGAGCGAAAACCCTAACAATATCTCAAGGGAATACATATCGCGGTGTTTATTCCTCACGTAAGAAAGTATACCTATCGGGTAACTGTATTTAGGTAGGTATTTTTTTGGTCGGCAAGATGGGTTAATGTGGAGAGGATATCATAATTTTATTTATACTTACTGTTATGGCTATCTAATGTTTATGTGCTGCAGAGGGGGTGAAAGGGAAGGAAAGGGGGGTAGGTTGGGTTTGGGGGAGGGTGTTGGGTCTTGGGTGTTGGGTGTGTGAGAGAGGGAGAGGTGAGAGAGTAATTGAAGGAGTTTGTTGTAATGGTGGTGCTTGATGTCTTGATGATTTCTCGCTGCGATTTACATACATCATGGGATAAGGTAAGTTTTGTTGTCGATGGGATGTATTATTGTCGCAGGGGATCTCTATATACGTGTATTGGAGATGGAGATGAGAGATTGATTGATTGATTGGAGGGTTGGTGTTTGAGGGTTTTTTGCTGTTTGGATGGATGGATAGAATGATGGAGTGATGACGGAATAAGATGCGGATAGGATATAATTCTAAATATCTGTTGTAGCTTCTATGTGCGCAGCACACTCGGGAGAAGAGCATTTCGGGATAGAAATGGGCAGGGGATATTTATATTCTTCTCTTTGTTTTTCTTGGCTGGATTTCTGGAAGTGGATACAGAGTCGGATGGAAAACGAGGATGCACTCCCCGCTTCGGAGGGTATGGATTAGACTTATACTCCTTACCGTTCAATGGAGACCCTGTATCTCGGCTGTGAAGTTTCGATGGGAGATCAATGCGGGGTGGGTGTAAAAATTTCTCTCCTTCTCTAGAGTGAGTCTGCTATGATATCAGTAGAGCAGCATAAGAACGAGTCTCAAGGTTGATTCAAAGTTCCCTGTTGCCTCCGTAATAGCTGGAGAGAAGATTTCGCGTCGTGTATATGGGTTCGTGCGGAGAGAGTTCAGGAAACGTGGATATGAATTTTGGTTTGCGATGGTTAGAGAGAATCATAGATGGAGTTTTCGATAGCAGTAGATTGATATTCGGGAAGAGGATGAGACATTATCTGGGATGATAACAATGATCACTTCACTATCACCAATTAAATATCCGTCCTGTCGCTACACTCTCTTCTTCTCTTCAAATATGTTCCTCGTCACTTACTCTCGCTCACTGGCTAGTGTCTTTGGTGAGATTCATAGTTTATGCAGTCGGACTAGAGTTCCTTTGGTCGTTACCTTGTGACCTCATACTTTTCTAGCTCCTGGATCATTTGTTGGTTCAAGGGTTTGGGACGTGATTTTATATTGATTCGTTTAGATTCAAGTTTGGATAGGGGAGTGTGGTGGATTGATATGGAGAGGTCTCGTAACTCGAGTACTGTAGTGAATCGTAGTGCTCTACGAATCTTCCGTACAGAATTGTGCATGTGATTCACTTGGGTAGGATCGATGTCTTGCCCTGTCTTTGATGGCTAGAGAAGGTACCGAAACCGTGTTATGGCGAGTTTGAAACTGGAAGTTCTAAATTTGAGAGGAATCAGTGTATACTGAGAAATACATGCAAGTTAAACCTATGGTTGTACATGGACCTTGAGGGTCGTGTTCTGTGGCTTTCCTGGTGGAAGAATGAAGATCTACTTTTGAGATATCAAGTTTGGAGGTTCGTGTGTTTGAGCTTCTGTAAGAGAATCAAGACGAATTCTATGGAGTTGGATTTGAAAGGTTGAGAAGACAATGATGATGGTAATGATTTTTTGACGGTAAGAAATAATGTATAATTATGAGAGTTGACAACAATTCAGATCATACTTAACGGCCGTTCACCAAAAAAGAAAATTTCAACCTAAAGACCACTGAGTTCCAACAGATATCAAGAATTCCCAATATTGGCCACAAACTCGTCCTGATTCAAGCTCCTAAGTGAATTTTGATGCACACCTCCATAACTGTACTTACCTCCAATTCCGACGTTCGGGTTTATATAGTGTCTAGTCTGGATATTATGGACATCATTTGAGTGAATGTATTTGACGTTTGGTATTCCAGCATTACCAGAGTTCATTGAATAGGAGATGTCTGACCAAAAGAATTCACCATTGTGAAAGCATAGCTCCTTCCTTATCGGGTGATCTTCCAGTTTCCTTTTATAACTTGGGAGTTGTGTGATCCCACTAGAGTTAAGTATTTTTATAGGTACTAGATATCTAAACACCTTTGCTTTCAATCTTGATTAGGATAAGCAAAATAAGATATGTACCTCCAGCAAGTGTAGGTTGGGTAAGAGATAGAAGGGCACTCTGTACTAGTGATCTCTTTTCTTGAGAGGGTCATCTAGGATATGATGGGATAGTATCTCTAATACATGGAAGAAATGTGAGATTATATTGCCCTTGAAATGGGTTGTTGTCGCTATTCTGCGTTTCTGACTACATTCGTCATTGTCATCAGCACGTACAATAATTCAAAAGCATACCGTCTTCCTAGTCCTCAACTCACCTATCTTACTCGTCTTTTCCTCCTTTATTTGGCTCCCACAACTAACATGATTTATTCCCTAATTTCTTCTCTTTGATCAACAAAACTCCCCCACAAGCGATCTTTTCGGCCTACAGATTTTGTCTACTGCACAAGTCTATTTACTTGGAAGTTTATATAGGCTTCCTCCGGTTGAGTAAAGATACGCAAAAGGATCGATTGGTGGGGAAGAGAATTAGCCTATGCTGATACTTGTTTCTCTCTAAGACTGTGTAGGAAATGAGGGTAGCGGGTACATGTATCTATATTCTGCCTAGATAAGTATCAAGTGGGATGAATCTTTCACCTCATCTCTCATGACTCTTCCGCCTATATAAAAATCCTTGTTTAAACTTGAATATGAGACCAGATTGAACACTGAGGGAGGGGCTCATATTTGGATAAGGAGTCCGTGGTCTATGTCGAACCTCAGTTGCTTAGGCTCTGGCTCGACGTAAAACAGAACCTCGTGAGTCCATTCTCCCATCTAAGACAATATAGAGGAGTCTTCTCAAATTCTTGATAACGAGAGTCCAGCTTTACTGTCAATGAAATTTGAATCGTTGAAGTCCTTCCACGAACCATGGATAGTATCCAAAGATTTACAACAACAATAAGATATCTGAATACCTACTTGCTAACCCTTTACCACTTTCATATTTTCATCTTCACTCATCACATCGCACGCTTCGCTATATCCGGAATCAGATCCTGTTTGAATGTTCTCTAGTTATTTTTGTTCCTATCTTATAATTTCATTCTTCCACTCCTTTGCAATACAAACTATAGCCACTCTCCCGTTATTCCCTCTTTATTTCTTTCCATATTAGAGGGTATAAAAATCCATCTTATACTTCGGATTGTAAGGATGATATTGGGATTGTTCCGTGTGAAGATGGATTACTTTGTTAAGGAACCATTGAGCCTTGAAAGCCCGTGGCTGATATCTGTTGTCTTGTTGGTATATTATTTGGTGCGAGGGGAAGAAAAAGAAGGAAGAAATAAAGGGTCGAAAGCATGAGATGAATAATCCCGTGGGCCAAAATGATAAAATTCAACAGTGCTTCCTACGAAAATCAAGGGATATGAACGACAACACTTCCATTTTTCACCCATGGCAATAATAACTTTCCACTGCCGTCACCGATCTTACTATAATTATACCCATCTTCTCCACTCTCAAGACACACATCGCAGACTCAACTCACTCTGGTACTCTCAACTGCTATAACTGATCCCAGTCATGTTCTTTGGTTACATTAAAGCCATCAACTTCTCCTTGTATGATGCTTCATTCGAGATCTCTGGTTCTCCTATAGGTTGCTAGTAAAGGAAATGTGCGGGACGGGGATAAAGAAAGAAAGATAAGCGTGAAAGAATCAGAGTGACTCACAGATCTCGAAGATCAAAATATGTTCTGTCCTCAACTCTGTAGCAAGTTTGCTATGTGAATAATTCCATGCTTGTCAGTACGTATCTTCTGTCTCGTTTATCCATACACAATTTAACGAGTTGAGAAGCGCCATAAAGTCATTCTGAAACCGCAAAAATGCTTCGCACTTAAGCATCTGACAGACTCATGGTAGGTGAAGACTTCTCTGATGTGCCAAAGGGATCAATGGACCGAACCGAGTCGGGAGTTATGAGGTATGCGAAATTGAATATAGAATCTGAGATGCAATAAAAATAGCCATGGTGCAATAAACTGACAACCATCGTGAAAAATCCAGCCGATGACACAAATCCAGCGACAAAAAAACACTTATGCGCAACAATGACAACAATCTCCCCTATTCATCGCCGAAAGTCACAAGTATTGTATTACTGATACCTCAAACCCATGGACCTCTTAACAGGACATCGAGCCTCGTATTCGATCTATATGATCCCCCTCGAATCTTATCTAGTTCCTTGTGGGATATTCAATAAACAAATTTCATGCAATGTGCTTTCTGTTAGACTATACGTTGACCCTTATACATTAGGATGGAGTATAAACTCCGAAGAGCGGGGCATAGGGAGATGTACACGGAGGATCACAATGCTAAAGTTGATATAGAGGAAAATATACACAACCCTCAAGAAAACAAGTTAGAAACTTGAGAATTTACGACATAGTGTATTGATGCAACCACAAACATATCTACCTAGCATCGGAAATATCGTATAACGATATGAAGAAAGACGCAATATATGCCATAGCAATAACCAAGCATGAAATTAAGTAAACATCAATAGAAATATAATGTAGGAAGGAGAATAATTATTGGGTATAGTAACTTCAACTCTACTTTGAAACACTGCCAGATATCTACTCGAGGAAAGAGTACTGTACTGCGTACAACAAACTCAACACCTCCATTCTGCATTTGCCCACTCTTCCCACTTCATTCGCCGGTAAAATTAATCCTGCCTCGCACAAAAACTATCCTGGCGCCATAAATGGAAGCTCAAGCCAGATTTCCAAAAGAGAATTTAAACAACATCCTTGTTAACTTCCGTCGCGGCCTCATCAGACGCATGTCCCTTTTCCGCATGCGGCACATGCTCCACCACTTTATCCCCCGCCAAACCCATCTCCCCAGCAAACGTACTATGCGGTACCCATTTCGAGCTCGTTCTCGGCGTCGTCTCTTCCAACATTCTGTCCACCTGTTCCAAACTCAAGCCCTTTGTCTCCGAGACGAAAAAGTACGCGAACAATAAACTTAACACGCAGAGAGAACCCCACATGAAAAACACTTTGGCGCCGAGATTCGCGTCACCTTTTTGAGTGCCGACGAGATATGGAGTGATGACTCCGATGATGCAGTTCCAGAACCAGTTGGAGGCGGTGGAGAGACCAACACCGCGTGAGCGGATGGGGAGAGGGAAGATCTCGCCGACTACGACCCAGGCGGCTGGACCCCAGGTGGTGGCGAAGGCGGCGATGTTGAGGCAGATGACTGGGTAGGTTAGTTTGATGTGTATGCTATAATAGAATCAAGTATGCATTGTAGTGATATTGAAATATGAGCTGGTAAGTACTTACAAGCAATCATAGCAGATACGGCAGAGCTGTTATGTTTGTCAGCCTCACCGGCAGTGACGCCAATGATGCCAACAATGAACTGGAAGGTGATCATGCAAGAAGCTCCAATGAGAAGAATGCTACGACGACCAAAACGCTCGACGGTCCAGAAAGCGAGAGGGGTTGTTAACATGTTGACCAATGAAGTAACGAGGGAGATCAAAAAGGGATTCTTGATCGTTCCGAGGGATTTGAAGAAGACATTTCCGAAGTAGAAGATAAAGTTCTGTGAAATAAGGATTAGTACCAGTTTACTCCGATAGCTTGCTTTCGATGAAATGATGTGACTTGAGGATGTCAAGAATTAGGGAAACAGAGAAACCACTTACAATACCAGTGAATTGTTGCATACATTGAAGCGTGATACCAGTAAAAGTTCTTCGAAGGTTACTGGAACCATCGAACATAGATCCTGCACGTATGTAAGTACAAGATGAAGGGTTCGGGTTGACCGAAGGCACAAACCTTTGAAACAATTGGTCCATTGGGAAATGTATGATGTTTGTGGTACAACAGAGAGTTCGTATTCATTGTTTGCGATAATCTCCGCAAGTTCATCCTATGTGCATGTTAGGAAGGCATACCCGCATTGTGAATTCGGTTATACTTACTTGAATGTATTCAGACTCGATCGGTTGACCGCGAACGTTGGCTAGGGATTTGGCTGCATCTTCAAGACGACCCTTCTTGACAAAATAACGGGGCGATTCGGGAAGAATGAACAACCCAACCGCCAAGATGATAGCCCACAAAAATTGAACTGCAATAGGAATTCGGTATGAGCCAGTATCAGTCCGGTTCTGTGTAGCGTACACAACACAATTGGCAAGTAAGATTCCGATTGTGATACAAAATTGATATCCTGAGACAAGGGCACCACGGACTTTTTTCGGAGCAATTTCTGACATGTACAAGATGACTATAATTGATGACCGGTCAGACAAGTTGAGGCTGAGAGCTGATACTTAATGAGACTTACTTATAGCAGAAATAAATCCAACACCACCGCCAGCAACTAGACGACCTGCTACCATGAGACCTAGACCAGTGGAGGCGGTTTCCATGATACATCCGACGCAGAAGATTGCACAACCAGCGATGATAGTCATACGACGACCAATTGTATCGGCTATATCACCAGCAATGAGAGCTCCGAAGAAAGTACCGCAAGAAAGAATAGAGGTTGTCAAAGATTGATTGCTAGCAGAGACGGCGAATGCGTCCAAAGTGGGTTTTGGGGCATCTGCAGGAGGTTGTTGTAATCCGGTATATTGAGTGATGAAATAAGGCATCGCCAAGACACTTCAACACATCAGCAAATGGATACAGCATCTAAAGAGTCAGGAAACATACCCAGACATCCAACCTGTATCATATCCGAAGAAAATACCACCGAATGCTGCAAAAGCACACCTTGGCAAAATTCAGTCATTGTTCTTGAGCTCAAAAGTTGAGCAATTGATATAAGGAACTTACATCAAGTATGCCTTGACAGTTACTGGCGCCTCGATCTATACATTATCAAATCAGCATTGTGAAATATAAAGGCAGAAACCTGATAACTTGGAGAATCGATGAGATGTTGCCGTCGAAGTAGTAGCCTCGATAGAACTCGACAAAGATACACGATGGCGAGGATTAGCTGAGGAAACATTACTTACCCGAGAGGTATCGGTCGTGCCATGAACAACTGCTCCTCCAGGCATGATGAAGACTATTGCTACTCAATTAATATGAAAACTTGTTATTGCCAGCCTATATGAGAATTGAAGATACAGGCTCGTTTATATCAACAGAGATCAGAAGAATCAATTGCAAAGCTCTGGGGTTTCTTCACACTTTATGTATGCATCCAACAAGCAAAAGCTTGTCACTGCTGAAATCGATTGTTTTAACCGGACCTACTCTGACCAGTCAATATGTAGGGGATGAATCAGAAAGGATTCCTTGAGCCGTTAAAAGTAAGGAATCACAAAGGAGCTACCCCTGCTAAGCTGCAGCCATTTTGCTGAGATTGTGTGCACGCGGTCTGTACGCCGTATTCTTCCCAGGAAATCTTTTGTCTTTGAACCTTTCACACATTTGCCAAGCAACCGGGGATATATACGATTGTTGCAGTTATCTTCCTTAAACCGTTTAAAGTAAGTCGGGGACTTCAGACCAAGCAATACCCTGCGTATTAGAATGCCGAGGTGCTCTGGGGTCAATTTTCATATATTGACATTCGCTTGTCCTTTTAGAATGGCCAATCAAAAATACAACAGTTACTTCAAATGATATAGTATGTCATTCGAAAAACATTGGAATCTGAAATGACACTACTCGAACTTGTTTTCAGAAGCGAAATTCCTCTGTACTACAGAAATAAGCCTACTGGAACCGAAGCTGCTGATTATACTATACCTATACAGAAAGAAAGTTCACAGCTGTTGAGTTGGAAACACTAGCAATAAAAGCAAGAACAATGCAAGCACGGAGGAAGTTATCCCTCCCTCTTCCGCACTCGCCGTCGATTTCCACCAACTCTAACACATGATTGTTGCTGTGGTAAACCGTTTGAAGGAAGAGGTTGGTTCCAGACTAAATCATCCCTTGAGTAGTAAAACGCGGAGGTGCTGCCTTCGTGGGGAAGATCGACTTGTCGGGGTTGAGACATGCGGGGGACAGGGTGCATGGGGTGAAGTGGTGTCATGTAAGCCATAAAATTCGTGTGGCTTATATGATACATTATAGCAGGGTAGATTTTCTGCTCAAGCCCTTGTAAAATGAATAAGTCGGACCGAATTGTAGGACGGATTATAGAGAAAGTAAAACTCTGAGCAAGGCATAATCGAGAATAAAGGAGGAACATGTGGAGAAAAGTATTAAACGCAAAAAAAAATAACGGGCTAGTGAACGCAAAAGATGATAATAGGGTTTAAGATGTAGCAAGTAATAAGGGTTCATCAATGTTATAACAAGCTCTATAGACAAGAGCCTTGGGTTCTTGACTGACAACGGCATGGCAAATATACTAGATTTGCAAAAGCTTAACCCCCAACTATTCCCAGCATACTATTTATTAGCCATGCAGAAATTGTATCCGTAATCTGTAAGCGAGCAAGCCAAGCCAAGCCCTCGCGAGCACTTGCGTAGGTGGACTTGCAGGACTATCAATATTCGAGCCCATGGCTATCGGTGAATATACAGAATACCGAATACCGGTCCTGCTGCTATGGTTACTTAAGAATGTTTGGCATGTTCCTTCGTCCTTCGTTTTTCGCCCTCGAAATGGAAATTATACGCTCGTTCCTGAAGTACAAGTACGGCGAGGTGTCATGAGTGGTCCACATCCACGACAATCATACTGTACAGCATGTCAGCCCGTCCCTAGCTCCTAGCTTTCGTGTTGTAAACATTATGAAAACTTTCCTTCGCCGTCGGAAATATTTGCACAACCGTCACTTGATCATTTAGGCTCCAACGAGACCTAAAATTGACACGAGATCTAGAGCTTACTCGGTACAAGATCAGAGCATGTTTGGACAAACAAACTCGGTATTGTTTCCACAAACAAAATACTTTTGAGGTTTGGCTCATTAATCAGCCAGCGAACACCCTTCGAAACGCTTTACCCCCGTATTCGCATCACATTACGGATAAATTGAAGATTGCATATTCCACATCACAATCCGTCCCATCCACCACACTACTGTGCCTCTTATCTCCTCGCTCCCCGCCATATAGTCTCCATTTTCCATTGGCCAGTGACATTCCCCAACCGTGCTGGCAAAACCCACTGCAGTAAGCGACCAGTATAATCCTAGAGCTGGCAATCATGCTAGGATCGCATCCTCCCTCACCTCACGAGTCGCACAGTACGCACGAAATGCAATGCAACATGAACATCACCTCTAGGTTCAGTACAACTTCGATTCATGTTATCGTAGTACACGACTTTGGGAACTCGTTCGATGATGTATATATAGATTAACAAAGAAATATGAGGCTGGCAGACCTTTTACTTTGATGGTGTCTTATGTTGTGAATATTAGGTTTTATCTGGAAAAAAGATTACTACCTAGGTACCCAGATAAAAAGATGAGAGACTAATTAAATAATGGATCTCACACGTGGAGAAATCACCCTAGTAAGAGGGAAGTAAGGTCAAATGCCGGAAATTGTCGAGATTAGCGTCTGATGAGTTTGAACTTTGAAGAACTCCAATCAATATATTGAGACCTTGAGAAGGTTGATTAGAAGTTGTACGTAGAGTAAGGTAATATGAATTGGCTTATGAGTCACCTTCAGCATTTGCACCAACGCTTTCATCTAGAAAGGAGGTGTCGAAAGTAAATTATTATACTAGTATGCCCAACAATCTACTCAAGTACCTTGTAAGATAATCGAAATGATTGCCATTCGTTATTCACGCATATAATCATAATTGATTCTGACTAATATATCGCAGACATTCATCTCTTTGACTGAAACTTCATCGTAGTTGTATCAAAGTCTGTATAAGTAGCTAACTCTATCGTGGTGTTGAGTAAGTGGCACTAAGTGCCTTCTGAAGCTCATTCAACGCTCGCACTTTTTGTACATATTCTCGTGTTGTTTCGTGGATCAATTGACTAGTAAAAGTTGCTTGATCCTGACAAAACGCCGGTGCAATTCGCACAATGATTCCCCCCCACCGTCTCCCATGCAATGAGTATTATCAACTCCGCCCACCAAAAAACTTCCCATAACCCACTAAACCGTACGCCAGCCCATGCCGTGATTTGAGCCAACGTAAACTGTAATGAATTCCCATCATCTAAACGCCAATGCAACACGTTCCTCAAGACATTAATTCCTCTAGACGTGAGGTGAAAGCACTTTCCCAAACACCTACATTACGAATTCATATCTTAATTCTTTGACTCTAACCTGTCCCTCCTGACTTTCGAATACATGGATGCCACTGCCTGTGTGGATTGTCCTGGATTGGGCCAGTAAGTCATGACATATTCCCTGGATAACATTAGTAAATATATCACGGTTAGAGACGTAAAGGAGGAACTGACCAAAGGCTATCTCTCAGTTTACTGTCCACCGACCCATCCTTTTTAGGTGCAGTGATAGAGTCAATAAACAATCCAGTACTGTACAGCTCCTCCTTCAAGACAGTAGCACGCTCCTTTTTGTTGGGAATGTTCTTCGCTGTACCGTTTTGAAGACGTCGAAGGCTCTCCTTGATTGGCTTGAAGAGTTTACGAAGCATATCGTTCTGTGCAGGTTCGCCATTGTCGGATTTACGATATTTGGGGCGACGTTCTAGTTGTTTCTCATCGTCTCCGTCGCTATACTTTCTTTTCAATGGCGTTGAAGAACCATAGCCTCCACTCTCCCGACGAGAATCACGGGAATCACTGAAGTTGTGACTACGCGCTCTATCTCTTTCTCGATCACGACTACTGTGATCAGATGGTCGAGATGCTTTCTTGATCGGTGGGGCAGGAGAAGCAGAAACTGACCCTCTTGCCTCGCTTCTTCTGGATCCATTACGCTCGTGCTTCTTGTTGTTTCGATGATGATTCTCCACGGCACGCTTGGCAGCTTGGTTATCCGAGTACTTGGCTTTCAGAACAGATAGAAGATAATCGGCTCGTCTGACCAAATGGACGGCCCCAGGAGCCTTGGCGACCTTTTCATCAGCCTTGCTTCTTTCTTCTTTCTTGTCTACTCGATGTTCTTCAAGGAACAACTTGTCTCCGAGCCCCAAGTCAGTATCGTCTCTGATCTGCGTCCAAGCACCATAGCCGTGCCTATGAATCCCGACAAGAAGCATGCCATCTTCCTTTGCACCCCAGTCACATGAGTAATGGGCCCCTTTGGAAGCGTCAGGGACGCGGAAGGTTTTGAAATCGGGGCAGTTTCCGACAACGTCTCTTAGCATTCTCATTTCGCCTGGACGTTCCATGATAGTCTCAGCGTTGACTCTCTTGACTCCGGAATAATCAAACAACACTGCTTTTCTATCCTTTTTGGTTAATGGCTTATTGGTTGCGCGCTCTAGTGCTTCAACCCGTTCGGTCTCTGCCTTGAGACGTCTGCTACTTTCTTCGGTGAGGGCTTTCAGTGTAGCTTTCATCAAGTCTTCATCGCGGCCTACAAGACGAGCTTCTTTTACAAGTTCTTCGCCACGATCTTCCATAGAGCCGAAACGTAGGTAAGCTTTCATTAAGTTTCTCGTTTCCTTTTCGTTGAGAGGACGTTTTGGATCCAAACGATTTGCTTGAGCTTCCCTCTTTTCTTCGAGCTCTTCTTGCTTAACTTGGTCACGCTCGCGCTTCTTTGCAAGCCGTTGCTCTCGTTCAATCTCAGCCGTATTTTTCATGGCTGCTTTACGTGGTGCATTCTCTTCGACGACCTTGGCGAGATATTCTTCATGAGCTCGCTTTTCTTCCTCAGCTTTGATTCCCTCCAACTGATCTTTTGGAATGATATCGTCCCATTCCAAGTCGATTTTGACGTCAGTATATTCAAAACTCTTAAGGAAGTCTTCACCACCATCGGCGACAATGCCTTCTGGTACTTCAGTCTGATGCTCTTCGGCGTTCTCAAGGACCGAGTCAATGTCCAACTCTTCAAGCTTTTTCTGATTGCCAGATTGTTCGAACATCTTCTGGCCTCTCTTTTTGAGAATACGGGAAATATCCTCGGAAGATTTAGGATCATCAATTTTGCCAGCCTTTGCAGCCTTTTCTCGCAGCTCCTTCTTCTCCTTATCGGTGACACCTCGTTGTATGGTAATGAACTCCAACATGAGCTTGTTACGAGCACGCTCAAGAATCTCTTCCTCGACGGTTTCCTTTGAGACAAACCTGTAAATACTTACAGGCTTCTTCTGACCAATACGATGTGCACGAGCCATGGCTTGCAAATCAGCTTGGGGATTCCAATCCGAATCGAAAATGACCACCGTATCGGCCGTCATCAAATTGATACCAAGCCCTCCAGCACGTGTGGAAAGGAGAAAGCAGAAGTCATTACTTCCATCGGCGTTGAAGTGATCGATGGCTTGGCGTCTTGGACCTGCAGCAACAGTACCATCAAGGCGTTGAAATTGGTAACCACGAAGTTGAAGGTAGTCACCGAGGATGTCCAGCATCTTGACCATTTGGCTGAAAATCAAAACACGATGATTATCCTTTTTGAGCTTGGCAAGTAATCTGTCAAGGAGCATCATCTTTCCACTGCTGGCAATCAAACCCTTCAGCTGGTCGTCTCGTCTTTCGCTACCCTTCAGAATCTTCTCCTCTGCATTTGGAAACATGTAGGGGTGATTGCTGGCCTTTTTAAGTTCCATCATTATGTTCAACAACGATTGCTTTGGACCCTTTGAACCTTCATTCAAAGCTGCATAATTGCGAGTAAGAATGTTCTTGTAATAATCCAGCTGAACATCTGATAGCTCGACACGAATGATTTTCTCACTTTTCGGAGGGAGGTCATTCTCGACTTTCTGCTTTGTCCGGCGGAGGATGTATGGCTGAATTTTGGTGGTGAGCGCAGCAATTTTTTCACCAGCAGCTTCATCAGTTAGGTCCATGTTGTCTTCAATTTCCAATTCGCCTGGCATGAGGAAGTCCATGAGGGCCGACAACTCGCCCAAAGTGTTTTGAACCGGTGTGCCGGTGATCAACAAACGACTGGGAGCCTTGAAATCGAGCAACTTCAGATATAGTTGAGATTCTCTGTTCTTCAGACGATGTGCTTCATCGACGGCCATGAACTGCCACTTAATTTGGGACAGGAAAAGAGAATCGGCCAGAATGTACTCATAAGATGTGAGTAGGACATTGAACTTTGGACGCTTGGGGTTTCCATCAACTAACAGTTCATACTCACGTATGATCTGACGAGATGACTCTTTACCATTGTAAACAACATAGTTAAGACTTGGCGCCCAATTATCAAAGGTGTCAGCCCAAGCAGGAATGGTTGTCAAAGGTACCACGACAAGATGTGGACCTTCTTGGCCTCTATCATTGTGGAGCCAATTCATAAAAGCGACAGTTTGGACAGTCTTGCCAAGTCCCATTTCATCAGCAAGAATGACATTCTTGTTCTTGCACCAGTTGTAAGCCAGGAAATTAAGACCTGTAATCTGGAAATCTCGCAATTGACCATTCTTGATGTAATCCGGTTGCTCACGAATAGGAACGTGAGGGCTTCTGGTGTCTGGGTTCGACTCCTTTCGGTCTGAGACCAGAGATCTTGAGCTGCGATCCAAGAAGTGGTCGATAGCCTCTTGAGCCTTCTCGCTGATAAAAGAGGCAGTCTCCCATGTACAAGATTCATAGTATAGAGCCTTCCACTTTATGAAGTATTCAGTTTCCTCATCACCTTCTCGCGAGCCAATAACCCTTTCGACCTTTATGTAGTCTTCCAGGGCATCTGCATCACGCTCTCTATCGAGCATCCACTTTTCTTTCTCTTCCGGTGGTATCTCAGCACCTTGTGTCATGTAGATGTCATCGATAACGATTTTTCGATAATAGTTTTCGAGGCGTCTGAAACCACGAACTCCAGCCAAAGTGGATGTTGTCTCCCAAGTAGCATGACAGTGCGATTTGCCCTGCCATTTGATATAGTACTCAAAATCGTCCTTCGTAAGGTTCTCATCTTTTACATCTCTGTCAGCTTTAATCTTGTGCTTCAAGACAACATCGATATATGGTGAGGTATCTTCGACATCTTCCGCCCACTGGATTGGGGTCATCAATTCAGATTCATCTTCCAAGTCGGGATCGCTTTCTTGGTAAGCACCGGTTGTGACCTGTGCAGCACGACGGCTGTTCCACCGCTTCTCTTGATATTGAAGAGCAATGTTGCCGGTCTCTAATTGGCGGCGTCGATTCTTCTTGATAGTATTTCGTGCTCGTAAGCTACCGTAATCCTCGGTTTCGTCGGTATCAGAGGCAGATGCAGATTGCAGAGCTGGTGTTTGGCGTTTGGAAGCTGTACATGAGATTAACTTTCTGCCACAGCCAGTTCACCTGCGACAAGAAGGCGCTTACATTGTTGGGAGCGCTCTGGCTTCCTACGCTTATTCCTATGAGCTGCAACAGCATCGGAATCTTCTTCCTCTTCCTCATCATCATCAGACTCAACCTATAATAGTCAGCGCTTATATCCAACTGTATTGTAATTCGCATATTGATTGGGTGACTCGGGAACGACATACAATAGTTCGAGTTTGTGCTGGACGCGCCTGTAGTTGCAAAAATCCGTTAGCAATAGTTTAAGAGGGATGTGACATCGGGAAGCTCCTACACTTCTCCGTAAACCATATAGTTCGGGATTCTCTAGCATGTACCGATCTTGATCAGTGACGCCCGGCTTGCGTTTAGCAGGACGCGACGACTCGACAGTGCTCGAACGCTCTGATCGTTGGCCATTGAAAGCTGCAGCCGCAGGAGTTTCTTCTTCATCAAAATCCGCGTCATCGGATTGTTCTTGATCTTCAGGTGACGAGTCTTCAGTTGCATCGGAATCTTGACCACCAAACATTGGTTGTTGGTTTGAGGAAGCCGGTGAGGGTTCATCGACGGTAGGGTTGCCAACATCGGATAGTTCTGACTCGCTTTCGCCTGGTGCGTCATCATTTGATGGCGAGGACCTTGCAAATGATTCATCGTGTCCATTGGACATATGTAACGGGGATATCGAGTTCATGACTTCGATTGTATCCTGCGGGGCTGCGACGACGATATTAGCTATTATGAACAGTATGACCCCATGGATGGGTGTAGTGAAAACTCTGACAATTACACGCCCGTGAAGGGAAAGAAGCCGCGATCCTATATAAACCAAGATTGCAATGAGCCCAGCAACAACGACATACTGAATGTCATCGGCGCATTCTCGTGTGCTTGATAGCAATCTCGCGATGAAAGTCGATGGAAATGATACAATTTGATTGAGGCCAGCTCACAGGAGCTTTGTGTGCCGAAGAGCATGATAAGGGCAAGAAAACAGCAACGAGAGAGTGACATGAGTGAAGATCAGGAGACTCTATATAGTTTGAAGACTGCATGGGGAGATAGGAAGATGGAAATGATGGCATTCGAGGATGGCAGATGCATTGTGATGATGGGAATAGGTATACCATAGTTTTGCGTGGAATTTGTGGGAAAATTGGAAAACTTACAAGCCATATTTAATAAGGCCCCCCTGATATCAAAATAATTGAGAGTCAATCTTTAATTTGAAGAAGATAAAGGTAGATGGTAGTGATGTTGGGTACTTCGGACGTTAAAATTGGAGAGCGGATCTGAAGGTCTACACAATCAGTGATGAATTTCCCATAATGATTGACATGAGCAGTTGGTCAGGATAGAACCACAGGTCTACCGTACTTAGCCGAGAAGAAGCTAGGATGTTTTAGTGTTTCACGTGATATTACTGTACTTTGGCCGGACAAACCCTATAATGATGAAAACCATCAAAAGTAAAGATTGTATTCTTGGGAATACAACAGTATAACGGTACTCTGTAGCAATGAGCAAATATTCTACAAACTAGGAGGATTGATAGTTAAGAAAGAAACCAACATATAGATGAACATCTACAAGAATACATTGGTTGGTTGATTTGATACGTATTTTTAACCAGCAACATATAATTTTGATCTTGATGTTGACAGTCATTTTTGGTAGCAAGAATGGAATATGCCTCGCGTTTGGTAGGTAGATGTTGTGTTTTGTCTCTGCATAGGGATCTAGATAATGGAATTGATAGAAAACAGAGGGTATTGAAGCCTTCAAAATCGATATCATTGATAGAGGGAAAGAGAATGACTACGGGTACCCGTGTTTTTCTGGATAAAATTGGCAGATCGAATAATCAATATATGATTTTGAACTCACATCTACCTAGGTAGTTGGATCAACTGAATGCTATGCTGCTCACTGATCCACCAGATCGTATCCAGTACAACGAGAGGTATCGAGTATCCATATCTACATGGTGTATTTCTTTTGACTCTGGCATGAAAAGGACAACATCTAATTGCTTGTAGTATGTGTCATTGATAGATGGAACGAGAATGAATCCTTCTACCCCGAGTTTCCACAAGGAATACAGACTGTGCAATTTAACATATATTTTTGAATTGAACAATCATTATTAAACGCTTGGTGTGATCTAGGTATTCGTCTGAAGTGCAAGCAAGTCCTATCTATTGTTTCTGGTGGGTACAAAGGAGAATAGTGGTTCCGGCCAAAGGTATTCTACAATGAAACCACACTAAGGTTTAAGCTCCTACAGCCAATAATATCAATTGTGTAATAATCGAATTTCAACTTGAACGCTGAAGACTTTTTTAATCTCTTATGATCACATCCAGACCAACCAACCTCATATCCACGCAAGGTCTCTACAGCATTTCAGTCCGCTACACGCACGACAACCTTGGAAGACAAAATAGCACAAGTTCATCAACAAATTTCCGCGTCTCCCAGCGAATTCTCTGTTTTTCTTTTTTCCCACAAATTTGTAGTGCTCTGTGAGAGCAACAGCATCCAAGATGTCTGACAAACTCACCCGGTACGAAATCCCACTTCAATGTCGCCTGAGCAATATAGCTCGCATCTCTGCGATATTTAACATCTACACCTCAACAGTTTGCTGACTCTCCTACCTCTAGTATTGCTATCATCAGTACTGACAAGGTGCGACAAATTTTGCGTTGAGCCTTGCCCCACCACATACCCCGCGCCATATGAATATCACTGACATTATCCACCATTCGAACAGTGCAAGCCAAAGGTAAATAAATATACGCGTCTAGTCTTCTCAGTACTTTCTGCAAGTTGCTAATCATATATTCACAGAAATGTAGACAAGAATGTAAAAAGTCCTGCCCGGTCGTGCGAAGTGGTCGTCTCTGTATCGAAGTTACCCCCGAGTCGAAAATCGCTTTCATCTCCGAGAATCTTTGCATTGGTTGTGGTATCTGCCCCAAGAAGTGCCCATTCGGTGCTATCAACATTATCAATCTGCCAACAAATCTGGAATCTCACGTAACTCATCGATACTCCGCCAACAGTTTCAAGTTGCATCGATTGCCTACACCACGTCCAGGACAAGTTTTGGGATTGGTTGGTTCCAACGGTATTGGAAAGAGTACAGCACTCAAGATTCTTAGTGGAAAGTTGAAGCCAAATTTGGGTAGATATGACAACCCACCCGACTGGCAAGATGTTATCAAATACTTCCGTGGCTCTGAATTACAAAGTTTGTTGCTCGAATCTTTAATAATTCTTGACGTACGCTTACAGCAATACAGACTATTTCACGAAGATTTTGGAAGATGATCTGAAAGCAATTGTGAAGCCCCAATATGTTGACAGAATTCCAAGAGCCATCAAGGGGCCAGATAAGACCGTTCGAGGTTTGATCGAAGGTGTTGCAACAATGGATAATTTCAAGGAGGTCTGCGACATTTTAGGTATGCTGTGTTATCAATCATTCAAGCTTGCAGTACTGTACTGACTTTGTTTCAGAGTTGAATCATATTATGGACCGAGACGTCAATCTTTTGTCAGGTGGAGAATTACAAAGATTCGCCATTGCAACTGTTTGTGTGCAGCAGGCCGATGTGTACGTGGTCTTGACAACTCCCCAAAAGTTCTTGCTGACTGAGATGTAGCTACATGTTCGATGAACCATCTTCGTACCTGGATGTAAAGCAACGTCTTAGCGCTGCTCAGATCATTCGATCATTGTTGAGACCTGATGATTACGTTATTTGCGTTGAGCACGATCTTTCGGTGTTGGATTATTTGTCGGACTTCATCTGCGTTCTGTATGGAAAACCCGCCGTTTACGGTGTTGTCACTCTCCCAGCCTCTGTCAGAGAAGGTATCAATATCTTCTTGGATGGTAACATCCCAACTGAAAACTTGCGATTCCGAGAAGAGTCTTTAACTTTCAAGATTGCCGAGGCTGCCGATGAATTCATGGCAGACAGATCTCGAGCATTCCAATATCCATCTATGGAAAAGACTCTTGGTAACTTCCACTTGTCTATTGAGGCAGGTGATTTTACCGATTCCGAGATTGTCGTCATGATGGGAGAGAATGGTACTGGTAAGACGACTTTCTGTAAGATGCTTGCCGGTGCCACTCAGCCCGACGGCAATCAAAAAGTTCCAGGTATGAAGGTCAGTATGAAGCCTCAAAAGATCACGCCAAAGTTCGAGGGAACAGTCAGACAACTGTTCTTCAAGAAGATCAAGACTGCCTTCCTTCTGCCTCAATTCCAGACCGACGTTGTCAAGCCTCTCAAGCTCGAAGAATTCATCGATCAAGAAGTCAAGACGTTGTCCGGAGGAGAATTGCAACGTGTGGCTATCGTTCTTGCTCTTGGTATCCCCGCAGACATATACCTTATTGATGAACCCTCTGCCTACCTCGATTCCGAACAGCGTATCATTGCTGCCCGTGTCATCAAGCGATTCATCATGCACTCGAAGAAGACTGCTTTCATCGTCGAGCACGATTTCATTATGGCTACTTACCTCGCGGATCGTGTTATTGTCTTTGACGGCCAGCCTGGTATCGATGCTCGCGCCAATACCCCCGAATCGCTACTCACTGGTTGCAACAAATTCTTAAAGAACCTCGACGTCACTTTCCGTCGTGATCCATCTAACTACAGACCTCGTATCAACAAACTTAACTCCCAATTGGACCAGGAGCAGAAGTTGAACGGCAACTACGTAAGTACCAAGTCCCATTAGTTCAAGTGTATTATTACTAACATGTTCTAGTTCTTCTTGGATGAGGATGACAAAGCTGCTACTAGTTGAAGAGGTTTTTGAGAAAGATTCATTTCCCCCTCCAGAAAAGGCATTGCATGGCGTTACGGGGTCGGCATTTCGGGAGACTAGGAAAAACGATGGACAAGGCATGGTAATGGAGGAAGGCTCATCCGACCAGGATGGTGATCCAGGCGGCTAACAAGGGTGACGGTAGTCTATCCTCTCGATGCCTGGTCTTACTTTGACGATCGCCAAGATTTGGTAAGTAGATCATACATAGGCTGATTTGTCAGAAGTAGGTTGAGGGGCATTGGAAGACGTTGGATGACAAGCCATCAAGATGGGTGAAAACATTTCACGAGTGGCAATTTCCAAAGCGAAGAGGTACAATGCATTAGAATTGCAATTCAATTCTTAGTACATGGCAATAGTTGAAACTTATTACTTTACAAACTTGGTGAATTTTAAATGACATTCGTGAAGAGGATATTGAATGCGTAGAATCAATAGATAATTAGAAGAAAACAATACACACCGAATTTTTCATGCTTCCCCCATCTCTCTTTACTTCGCCCCTCTTTCATATCTCATCCCCGTTGATCAGACTGGGACAATGCCTAGCGTTGTCTAAGTACCACACGATCGTGAACTGCCTGCTTGCCGATATCATCAAGCCAAAAATAGAAGTACGGTGCGTGCGGATACGTACAGGTAGGGCGAATTTTCTTCAATTTGATTGGTGCATGATGACCTTGACCTTAACCACAAAAAAAGGTCCAAACGATTTCTCTATTCTTCCTCTATCTCGCCTTCTTCGCTGCCTGAGTGGACAGCAGGCTCTTCTTTGGCGGGGGTTTTCGCAGCAGGTGGTGACCTAGTCCTGTGACGCCGTTCACGTGGGGGAACTGGGGAGCGCTCACGTTGTTTAGGTGTGTTTTCTCTTCTGGTTCTCTGTTTTTGCATTGGTGTTAGTTTTGAAAGTAAAGATATTCATTTCGAGGGGGAAAGGAACAGAATAATAATGATGAGCTGTAACGAACCTTACTATCCCTGCGAGTTTCCGTTTCGCTTTCTCTCCTCTTTCTTGGTGCACTAGATCTTTCGTCCCCATAAGGCAACTCATCAATGCTACCTCGAGGGTCCCCGCGTCGCCTGTAGAGTTTCTCTCTTTCATCCTCGCGATCTCTCCTTTCTCGCTCGTAATGACTCATTGAATCATCTCGTCTACTGCGAGGTTTGTCAAGATCACGATCTCGCATTAATCTATCCCGGTCACGTTCACGATCATGAGCATCAGGATCACGTCTATCACGACGATTTGGAGAAAGTAATGTATCAGCCATGCCACCCTTTCGGTAGTTCTTTTCGCGGTCTGCGATAGCTTTTCGCCTGTCTGCTTCATACGCGTCAGGCTCCGGGGAGCGGCTACGCCTAGAGCGAGTAGATCCGGAGGAACGGTGTTCTCGCTCTCGGTCGTGTATCTTGTGTGTTGGTCGATCGACTGAGGCTCGATCACGACGCTTGGCTCGATCCTTTTCGGAGTCTTCCTCTTTCTCTTTGAGCCGGCGAATTACCTTGTCAAAAGCTGAGCGACGGAGTTCATCTGTTGTCACGGCAAGATATTCTTCGGACCCTTCAAAACGAGCACGAACCCGTTCGTAATCATCGCCAATGCGAATAGGAGGTTCGAGATGCTTAATGTACGATCTCAAGTTATCCACAGCTCGGCGTTGATGGCGCTCTGCGTGATGCTTGTCATCCTCATTTCTTCGAGAAATCTTTTCACGTAACTATTTCGACAATTAGCCAAGGGTAAGTTTGTTGCAACAAAGAGGTACTAACCCGATCAAATATTAGCAACAATGAGTCTCGATCAATGTTAGCAGTTCGTCGATCACTCTGCATCAGTGCTAGGAACTCTTCAAACGGAGTCTTTTGCTGGAGTTCAAACCGTTTATCCTATAATTTGGTCAGTTTGAGCTTCACCATATTAAGGATCTATTGAACTTACATCAAGAACATCCAAAACATCATTTCGTGTACTACGCAGTGCGCGTTCCTCTTCCTCGACTACATCCCAGAACAGGTCCAGAGGAGAAGATCCCGATTGACCCAACATATCGACGTACCTGTCATCATTTTCAATTAAAGGATGAATTTGGCTCCACTTCGTTCCTGCCTTTATTTTGTTCCCAGCTTTGAGGTCTCGCAAGAGGCCTACAAAGCGGTCTCGATTCTGACGCTCTCTCCTGAACTTTTGGGTCTTCTGCTGCTGTTTAACATCATTGAATGTCTTCTCAAGAGATTTGATATGATTCTCGAAAGCAGTCAACATGTCCGATTTACTGAGTGCCTTGAATTTCTCATCACCTTGGAAACGTGGATTTGACTGGATGATACCTTGTGCTTCTGACCATCTTGTGTATGGTTCAAGATTTAATCCTTTCAAAAGATCAACAAGATCGTCCATCGCAGCTTTTCTCGTTGCGACCTCTTTCTCCGTATTCGCCCTCTTGAGTTCCATGATATAATCTTGAAATAGCTGACGTCTTTCATCATCATCATTCGAGGAGCGAAAAATCGTCTCTCCCTCAATAATTGGTCGAGCTGTCTTCCATCTAGTGTAGTGTTTAATCTCTGGATGGCTTCTCAGCATAGTAGCAAAATCAGATCTGAGTTTCTCAAGTCTCTCCTTTGCACGGTCCTTTTCTTGTAGGCGAACCTCAATGGCATACTTCTCAAAGGCGGCCTTTCGGTCTTTGGGGTCTTTGAGCGCTCGGTATTGAGGATCCTTGATAATTGATCGCATAACTTCTTCCCATGTAAGATCAGGTTTAACATTGTGCCGTTTCAAAAGCTTGAGGAAAGCTGCTTCTGCTTCTTCAAAAGTGGAATAATCGGGATCATTATTAGCAGGCACAAAAGCTTGAGCACGACTTCCATTGGCATCATTGCCGTATGCAATTTGACGAGCTTCTCCTAAAGGTTCCCTGTCTCGTGGTTGGTCATACTGAGAGGCCGAGAATCCACCTCCTGCGACGAAGGTTGGCACCCTAATAACAAATCAAAATTAGAATCATATTATTTGGGCTTCTCGGAAAAGACCTACGGTGCAGCAGCGACTGCAGGCGATGCAGCCTCTTTTGACATAGCTTCCTTGTATACATCTGGCATTTCCCATGAGCTCTGCTTCGTCTCAGTGTTATACCAATACTTTCTCCCCCCTTCCGCTGTATACTCTTTCCATGGCTGGTTCAAGAGGGCACGCTAAATAGCTTGTCAGTAAAAGTCATTTGACTGATAAATTTAGGGAGACAAGAATTATACCTCTGCAGGTGTCATCAAATCTTCTGGCTTGGTCCATTGCGTCGCCTTCGTAATAGTATTATAATAATAAACCCGTCCATCCGCATTTCGCGCTTCCTGCCAGAGAGCAGGAACAGCTGCATGACCATTCATTCCGTTCATGTTGATGAAACTGAAAGCAGAAAACGGATTTTTGGTTGAGTTGCTAGTAAAAGCGCAGACCAAGATCGCATTTGCGGTTTCCAAAAAAAGGTTCGCGATTTTGCTCGGCCGCTATTTAGCGCGTTTTCAGTACGGAAGCTAACCACTACAGCCATCCAGAACTCCTTTCATGTGAGTTTCCAACGTCATAACACATACTCGTTTTCTTAACACATTATGCGATTTACAAATATATAACAAGTTACAGTCTATTGTATTTATTTTTGTTTTAAAGGCTTATCACAATGATGGAAGAATCGCAAGAAGAGCCAATTCCTAGGAGCAGCTTGGAGTTCACTGAGAGCTCAATCTTGGACACAATCATTCCACTGGCCAGCGATTTGAATATAGAGGAGGCTTTGAGTGGGAGTTTAGAAAAGCTTGATGAGGGTAATGGTTCTCCATTAGCTGCCATTCCTCAAAGGCAAGCTCTTTTCTTTGGTTAGTCCCCCGAGTTACTGGAAAAGCTCTCTATCTTACTCATTCGTAGATGTTAGATGAAACGGTCAACATTTATGTCGTCCTACAAACCCCCTACTTTGACGAACGATCTCTCCGGTCCTATCTTAACAGACTTATAATCAACGTGGAAGGCCAGGTCATCAATTCGAATGGCGAGCATCAAGATAGCTCGGCGGGGCGTGAACTGATTTACAAGGGCTCTGTGCAAGAAAGTGACGAGCCATTAATAGTTGTGCAAGGCTCAGACGAGGCTGAGGGCACCAATAATGACGGTCATATACTTTTGATATGGAAATTATCTGCATTTCTTGCAAGACCGCGACTACGCTTGCAAAATCCCTCCATGGTGTTCGCGGCCACGGCGAATCTCAAAGCAGTGGAAGAGGTTGACACGGATGCATTGCGACAGGAATATCTACCAAGTCAGATCCCCTCGGGCTTGAATCTTCTTGAAGCTTTCAGTGGTGATGCATATTTAAATGGTATCAGGCCACGGCTATCTGCATTGCGAGTCGCAAGAGTTGCACCCGCAGCGCAAATCGCTCGCGACTTAGCTCGACCTTTCAAGAACATCTCACGGCAATCGATTAAAGTATACCCAGCTATAAATGCCCGTGTACGATATTCCAGGCCAAGTAGTACACCCAACAATACTTCGGTAATAGCTTCGCTAGATATTGATATTACCTCTTTTGTGAATTGTGACATTATACTCACAGATATACAATTGAAGGTGCATGGCGGACAGGTACAAGATTTAAACCAAATCCCTGGGCTAGCGCTTCCAATTACTTGTCGGCCTCAAGACGATGTTAGCTTCCTTTATCGGATATTACCTGATGACGTTGATGTTACTAACAAATCTCAAATTCGAGCCATCGACATATCTATCACCGCCAATGCCAATGTCACTACTGTCTGTAAGCCACAGATTGTGATGCAATGGTCTACATCCCTGGACTTTACACCTCCTATTAATAATGGCTTCGGTCAACCTACGAAACCTATTCAACGTCCTCACAGACCTTCTGCGCTGTCTATCGGCGCAACGTTTGACAGCATTCCAACGATTTCCTCTCTTGCAATTAGTCATCCCGATGCTCTTCCAACAATCGAAGCGACCACTCCAACACGTTCACACCATCGTCATCAAAATTCTGTCCCAGATTTTGGCGTTACCATGACATTTTCCTCTCCATCTACATCTCCTATCTACCCAGGTCATCCTTTCATCTGGTCAATCTTCATAGTGAATCGATCCGATAGACCTCGGAAGCTTGCTCTTCTAGTATTACCAAAAAGACGTCGAACTGAAGCTCGTATAACACGCCCTCCTTCGACTGGTCATGGCAGCGCACGTCGGGATCCAAAAGTTGCGGATGCTGTCCTCGATGAAAATATAATATATGCCATACAGCGAAATTCAGCAATGGAATCCAGCGAAATAGTTTGTCTAAGTACGGATACGCGTGTAGGGCCACTTGCACCATCCGCATGTTACGAAGTTGAACTCAAATTCATGGCGTTAAAGGAAGGGATTGTGGGAGTAGAAGCTGTAAGGGTGGTAGATCTAGGAACGCAAGAGCATGTAGATATCAAGGATTTACCGACGATCGTCGTCAAACCTGAACCGAAGGAGTAAATAGCTTCACAGTTGGATCTTCAAAGATCTTAAAAAGGGTTATTCATATTGATGAGATATAATGTATTTAGATTGTAAAAAGGAGATTTGAATTGAATAATGATATTTATCATAAATTAACCCCATTTGCACCCATAATTATTGCGAGACGACATGGGTATAGAGAACGAAAGTAAACAGTTCCAAGGTTTCTTCATGGTCTGGACGGTAGCCAGCCATTTAGTATCCCATCCTATCCTATCCCATCCTATCCTATCCCACCCTATCCTGTCCCACCCTATCCTGTCCCATCCTATCCTATCCCATACCAAACCAAACCAAACATTGCTGGCCTTTCAAAATCAAACCTCATCCTTAATCATCAAAATCTCAGATCCCAGATCCTTACTTTTCATCTCTCTCATCTTACATCTTCCAACCTACATACCAACCCCGTACCGTCTCTCCAACCGACCGACTCTATCTCACCCCTCTGATCTCCTCCTCTTTTATCTCTCCCCCCTTACTCACACCCCCCATCTCCACCGCACCTCCCGTCGCTACATTGTCGCCCAGCGAAGCATGATGCGCATCATGTACGTGCAGCAGATTGCCACCTTTCTCGACATGGTTGGAACCACCGAACAACACGTCAATTTCTTCGAGCGATACCTTTTTCGTTTCGGGGACCAGGAACCAGACGTACAGCGCGAGGAAGATGTTAATGCTGAAGAAGAAGTAGAATGTTTTACTGTGGGGAGAGGTTAGTTATGTGAGGAAAGGAGAGGGGAGGAGGGAACGCACAAGCCTTGGTTCTTCAAGAAGGTGGGGAAGAATTGTTGGAAAATGGAGTTTGCTACGCTGTGTAATGTTAGTAATCTATATGATCATCTCAAGAGTAGACAGGATGAGAGAAATCTTCACTTACTTCTGCATCTGACTCGACATACCCACCGCCTGGGCTCTGACATTCATACTGAAGACTTCTGCGGTCCAAATCCACACCGTAGCACCCCAACTGGGTTTATAGAACAAGATAAAGAGGAACAGTAGGAACACAATCGAGATGGCCACAGGATGTGATTTTGAATCTCCATGGACTCCAGTATTCGGGGTTAGGGTTCCCACGAGCGAGACGATCAACATACAAAGCGACATACCGATCGCACCCACAATAAGAAGAAATTTACGTCCGAAGCGATCAACAGTCCACACAGCATTCAGGGTGAAGAGAATTCCAAAAGTAGCATTCAACGCATTAATCAAGGCAATCGTGCTAGCATCAGGGAAAACCTTTTTATAAATCGCAGTACTGTATGTATTCAGTGTTCCTTGTCCGGTAAGTTGTTGGCCGATGTTCAAAATGAAAGCTAGGATCAAACGTTTTCGGACCGAGCGATCTTTCCAGAGCGCAGAATAGGAGGAGGAAATGGCTTCTTTTTCGAACTCGAGGGCCTCGCGGATCACGAGGATTTCGTCTTCGACGTCTTGTTCTGTGGCACGTACGCGACGGAGGGCGGCGCGGGCATCTTCGACACGTCCACCGTGTTGGATGTACCAACGGGGACTTTCGGGGATGAAGGGGAGGAGGGTGAGGATTATGATGGGGACGAGCATTTGGAAGATGACAACCATTTTCCAGTCTGTGGGGTGGGAGTGTTAGTTTGCGGTGGGATGAGTTGATGTGATTTTGAGGTGAAAGGATAGATGAAAAGAGATGGTTGAACACATCTGAAAAGCAAGAAACGTGATAGTGAATAGTGAGAGTCTTACCCCATTCTCCAAGCGTCTTGACATGTTTTTGACAAGCGAAGTTGATCCAATAAGCAATGAATGAACCGACTGAATAGAATAATTGCCACTGGAACAATTCTATATTAGTACGCAATTCCGAGTTTCGCTAAATTTTGGGATTGTGAATCTCACAAAGGCCATGATCTTTCCTCTAATTTCAGGTGGTGCAAGTTCACCAATGTACACAGGTCCCGCCGCTGTATATATGATTAGCAGAGGCTTGAACAGAAGTGTTCAAAAAACATACTCAATGCAACACCTTGACCAAGACCAATAATGACACGACCAGCGATAAAACATCCAAGTTGGCCTCGAGGAGAAAACGTTTGGATGAAAGTAGCGACAATAGTCACGAAGCAACCAATTGCCATACCCCATTTTCTACCAAGCCAATCTGCTACTGGGCCACCGAGAAAGAATCCAGCGATAATAGCACCGACAGTGTAGGCAGTATTGACAGCACCAATCTTTTCGGTATCCTTTGATCATTTGTTAGACGGGATCAGACGCTAACTCTTTGATAGGGAAACATACTGGATCGTTGAAGTAAGCTACCCAGTTCTTTGAGCCTTGTACGGAATTATATACAGAGGCATCATATCCATATAGCACCATACATGATGCTGCGACGAGCGAGATATACCTATGTAGCGTTAGGTCACTACTACTGTCAAAAAATTACTGTAAACCTTACCAGTTGTACACTCTCGTCTTATCTGTATTGAAGATCCCCATTCTGGTCAACTAGGACCCAGCCTTATGAGTTATAAAATGATAGGTAGATCACAATATCGATATCGATATTGATACAAGAGAAATGCTACAACGAAGAAGTGGGAAGACTGTCAATTAAAAATGGAGGAGACAAGATCGACCGCTAGGACTTCTTACAAGGCTCCACCCACACTTCATTGCGTGAGCATCGCATGTTGAGCAGTTTACGGTCGTATATATATTGTGCCTGCACATGGTTTCGATGCGACAAGGATGGTAACCTACTAAGGCCGTTTCCCACACCCCATTCTCAGCGATTTTAGCTCCCCCTTGAAGCTTATAACCATGAAGCTTACGCCAACGAAACTCGAAATGGCAAACGAACGAACGGGGAAAGAATAGCCCCAAGCTAGGGCAGAATCTCGACCCAATGGATTTGAAACTTTCCAACATTAGCGGATGACAATTGCGATCCCCCATACTCCAGAAAAAGCTTCTGTGGTGGATCAATACAAGCGGACAATCCCACATGAAGAAAATCCGCGAATCAAAGCAAGTCGACAAAACAAGTGGTGGCTTTTATTTGCATTTCTACTTAAGAGACAAGAACAATCCCAAACCTCTGGTTCGAAATACCCTACCGAGATTTCAAACCTGCAACTCCACCAAAGGAGGCATTTTCTCAGTCCACGGGATACAGACATGGGATCTGGAACCGAAGTCTTTTTACCCCAGTATATTACCCAAGTATCTTTTTAAATTGCTTCTGACCGAGCGCACTAATGCATACTCATATTCTTTTCAAATACCAACAGAAACTGAGCGTTGGTACAGGTTTCTTCTTCAAGTAAAGTTTCCTTGTTACACGTAACATTTTATCGGAGTAGATACTTATCATGGAAACTCCTAATGTATGTATATGTATGTGTACTCAAGTAAGTATCTGATTGACAATATGAAATGGCGAAACATCCACCAATACTACCACACCATACTTACGAGTGGCAATGTATGTAGGAAGTATATTTTGGACTAAGACTGTTGATACATCTTCATTCCCTGCAATAATCCATACATGGTGGAGACTCAACTCCGGATAATAGATCGTAATGCGGGGTTAGTGTATTGGAGTGACAAACGTACCTAGGTACGGACGGTACGTACCTAGACACAATTAATTAAGCGTCACGCCTGCTTTAAATTGCTACCCAAGTTTTCTCATTGTAATGTGTGAATGTGTAAATGTGTAAATGAACAAAGCGTTGAGATACTGCTTATTTTTGTTGTTTGTTATGTGTGTTATGCGTTATGTGTTACCCAATTTTAAAGGATTCGATTAGATTTCTGGTCGTCTCAATACATCTACACAAGTCCTACCCATCTTACCAGTCTTTTGAGGGGGTGAAGATCCCATCATCACCACCTCGAGAATATTCAATAAAGGATAAAGCCACATGAGCAGCCAAAGTGAGTATCTACATGCGTGGAAATCTGCCAGATTCTGCAAGCTGCAGGTTACTTTTGATTTATGTACTCTCAACACAAAAACAAGGGGGTATTCCTGTGTTTCGTCCGAACGCCAAACACCACATATGTAACAGAGAAATTATTTGACATGTGAGCTGTACAATCTGGTAACACCTGCTCTGGTGTACACTTTATATTCATGAGTCGAGATTCTTGCATAGCTCGAGTTGGTGAATGAGATGATACGCCATTAACCAACAGACAAGTGCTGCATTACATGATCTTCGCATGGTTGCTATTGGTGCTTTGAATTGCAAAGATATTAATGTCCTACCAAAGAACCAAATGATCTTGATCGGGGAAATGAGGATCGCATCTCTTTTGAGGGTGTTCCATCACCTTGACCTCGATTATTTCGTCCGGTCGCGTCTTCGCGTCCTCTGCAAATGCATACATAACAAGGCTCAAGATGTCATCTTTGAATTCGTCTATATTTGATTCCAATAGAGTTATGCCTGAATAGCGGTCCCACGAATCAACTTCTTCTTCGCTCGGCATTCCTCTCACTAAGATGACTTTTCTCATGTGCGGAAAAGCCGAACGGAAACGAGTAATGCTTCCCAGAGCGCGAGAAAGATGAAATGGAAGGCTGTAACCAGCTGCACCCCAAAATTGTTTAGCCAGAGCAATTGATTGAATCTGATGATGGTAGGGTAGAAATGATGATTGGATAGAAAAGTGCTTTGCGATAGCCATCACTTCGTCCACATATTGCCTCGAACTGAAATATATAGTATCGCAAACAGGATTAAAGTAGATATCCGCTGGCTGTGTATCTGTACCGAATGACATATTGTAAGATTGGAGAGCAATTTTACGAGATTCTCTATTCGTATGAAGTATGGCTGGAGGTGGACCATAATTGACAAATTTCTTATCAACGATGTCGTAGTTCAATTCTAGAATGCGTTTGTGAAAAGCAGCAAGCTCCCATATCTGTACTCTCAGCTCCAAAGGGAGGTCAAGGAAGTGGGGAAACGTATTTTCAGGATTCATGATCGGATGAATGCCGCTGAGAGTATAATATAGGTATCGATAGGAGCTTTCGAAAGTCAGCAATCCTGAAAGAAAGGGGCGTACGGGACGGCACGAGATCTTAGAGGTGTCGATACCGGATTGGGAACCAGATTGAGGTAGTGTCAGAGTTCAAACATTACACACATATTTAGATGTCTTCATAATTCGCACTCTTGGATGTTCAAGGTTGGCTGGAGTCGTAGGGAGTAGAATTTGATGTTGTTTTGCTGAAGGGAAAGGGACGGTATCTCGGTAACCTAGTACTAGCGTCCATTTTCCTTGGCGGGATCACCAGGCGCAATATCAAAAACAAAGGAAATCACACTCCGAGACATCACGCATCATTGTTTTGTCATCGATTTTTGGAAAACCTACAAGCATAAAGCTTCTCATGTTTTCATCTTGAGAGTCTATGGATAGATATTGCTACTTGTTTTGCCTTTCTATTTGCTACGCACCATGGTAAGTGGAACGCCACGGAGGATTCCAAATATTCTCATCTGACATCAGAAATAGGCAGACAAAGCTAGCTATTTCACACAGCTCTATGCCTTATGTAACTCGGACTCAGATGAAGGAGAGCTCAATGAATCGCGAGAATTTTTGAAGAGATGCAACAATCCCATTTTGGATCCTCCATCACAAAGAAAACGTAGTTTGCTACCTCCCTTACCTAAGGATCCAAAACTACTACCACCTCGAAAGCTACATAAACCGCTTCTCAAAAATGTTCCAACATTACAACGAAGTCATTCGGAGCCAAAAGGGAGTGTAAGTACGGTTAAGGGTACGGCAGATGGTACGACGGAGAAACTGTTTGAGTCACCTCGTAAAAGGTCTGGTCTTCGAAGCGAATCGCGTGCTACGGTTTCTACTGGTAGTTCTTTTGAAAAGGAAACTTCGTCGTCTCTAAGAAGTGCAGATGGTTCAATAAAAAGGCCAACTAAAGATCAACGCAGCATATCAAACCCGACATCAGCTACCTTAGTTCTTACCAATAGTACAGGAATCGCATCAATGCTTAGCAAAAAGAGAAAAGGGGATACCCAGGAAAACGGGGCCACGAAAAACCCTACCAAGAAGAAAGAGAAACCTCTAAAGTTTGTTCCCCCAAAGGATCGGGTCTTTCAAGGTCTTAAGTTTTTCTTCCTTCCTAACGATGATAAATCTCCAGTCAGACGTTTTCGCATCATTAAAGCAAGAGAGCGCGGCGCAACGTGGATTAGAGATATAAACGAGCCCATCACACATCTTATCATTGATAACTCCTTGACGCGCAAAGACGTTGTGACCTACCTTGGAATCCTTCCGGATGGAGCCAGTATGGTAAATGAGGAATGGTTATTAGATTGCATTGAACAGAAATTTCTCTATGAACCAACCGGGAAGAAATATCAGGTCAAAAATCCGGATGTAGTCATCGAAAAGAAGCAGATGCCAATGCCATCAACGTTACAGCAGTCAGACAAGTCTCTCCAATTGGAACCCCATAACAGAAAGCCTAATAAGTGGGAATATGTGCCTCCAAAAGAAACACCTGAGCGCAGTCAACGTTCAATACCAACCGTCAGACCAGTTCCTTTCCCCTCAACCTCAATTTCTGGATCACAGTTACCTGGAGCAGATTCAGATCGTTTGACAAAAGAGAGGCCACAGCACCTTAGTCAAGCATCTTCTTCCAATCCACAATACGCAGACTTTGGTATACTAAATGAAACAATTGAACTAGCTAGGGCAACAGAAGGTGTACTCGATCATGACAACTCTGACGACGACCTAATATCAAATTTCAGTGAATTTGATGATACCATAGATGAATCAGATTCAGAAGATGATCGTCGTTCCCCTCTGAAAGCTCCTGTCAAAACCCGTCGAACAGCCCCTGCGGGAAAAGGAAGTCTAAGTAACTTCCAATGTATGACTGGGGGAACCGCTTTCGACGAACCCAATCCCAACGATCACACAATCCAAATCCTGTCACGAATGAAAGACTATTATGAAAGAATCGGCGATCAATGGCGTACCCGTTCCTACATGCAAGCATGCGGGCAACTCAAAAACCAACCAACCCTCATCCGTACCTTCTCTGAAGCCATCGTAATCCCCAAAATTGGCCAACGCATCGCCAAAAAAATCGAAGAAATAGTCCTCACTGGCCATCTCCGGCGTCTCGACCACGCAGAAGCAGAACCAGACGATAAAATTCTCAAGATTTTCATGGGCATCTATGGCGTAAACTACAAGTTAGCATCAAAATGGATTTCTCAAGGCCATCGCTCATTTGCCGATCTCAAAAACAACATCAAACTCACACCCAGTCAACAAATCGGCATCGAACACTACGATGATCTACAGCTCCGGATTCCCCGCCATGAAATCGAAAAATTGGGTGAATTCATCATCGAAACGTCTAGAACCCTCGATCCCGAAATCGAAATCACAATCGGCGGTTCCTATCGTCGCGGCGCAAAATCATCTGGCGATATCGATATCATCATTTCCAAACCCCACACTACCAAAATAACACCACTAACTCCCTTCCTCTATTCTCTCGTAAAGTCTCTCACAGATTCCAATTTTTTAACTGCAGCCCTCGCCGTGCCGCATAATAACGAAGGCTCAAAATGGCACGGATGTTGTGTTCTCCCCTCTCCTTCATCTCCCTCTTTCTCTTCTGAATCCCCTCCCAACCCCTGGCGCCGCATCGACTTCCTCCTCGTTCCTGCGTCCGAAATCGGCGCAGCACTCATCTATTTCACCGGTGACGATATCTTTAATCGAAGTATGCGTTTACTGGCTGGGAAAAAAGGGATGAGATTAAATCAGCGGGGCTTGTATAGAGATGTTATGAGAGGTGGGATGAAGGGGGGAAAGTGGGAAAGTAGGAAGAAAGTCACGGACGGGACGTTGGTGGAGGGAAGAGATGAGCGGGCGATTTTCGAGGCGTTGGGGGTGCCGTGGAGGGAACCCTGGGAGAGAGTCTTGCATTAGTGGGCAAGAGGTGTAGGGGAATTTTGTGAGAGGAATTTTGTGAGAGGGGAGCTTGGTGATTCCAAGCAGGCGGTGCGTTTTTGGTTGTGGTGGAAGATATCTATTTGTGCATTTTCGGCTCGGGTTCCAAGTTTGGGGATTTTCATAAAGGCTATCGAACATGTATCACGAATCCAAGCCAAGACCCGAAATCAGATCCAAAGGGGACGTTTTTGGGTAACGTATAAAGATTTCTGGATGAGAAACTTACAGCAAACTGGTTGGAGTAAACATTGCATTGTTTTGATATCGTAATACGATATGCGATTTTGTGGGTTGGGGTTTAGGATTAGATGGTACCTTGCGTGATGGATGACATTGGTTCATTAATTTTTCATCATTGGCCATGTATACAGTGGTCAAATGAGGATTTAATTCCAGTTGTGCCATGTGTTTGAGTGAAAAAGCAAAACGTGTGATGAATCTTAAGATTTTGTGTGTGTATCTCTATTGCAATAAAGCACGTGCAAAGCGATATGTTCCATTCATCTATCTACCCAGTATCTCTACCTATCCCATTTCCCCACCCCATAACATCTCCTTCCCCCTCCTCTACTCCTTTTCCCCACTTCTAATCATCGCCCAATTCCTGCCCACCCCATGTTCCCCCAAATCCACCTCCATACAATCTACCTCCTTAAACCCCGCGCGCACATACACTGGATACCCTGCAGCCGTTGCTTCCAAATAACTACTTTTCGCCTGGGCATCTGCGAGATTTGTGATAGCGGTGAGCAGGAGGGTGCCGAGGCCGAGTTTTTGGTAGTTGGGAGAAATGGAGAGGAAGTAGATTACTAGGGGCATTAGATGGTTGTTGATGGAAGAAGAGATGTGAGAATGGTGCGAAGTGGACTTGAAATGAGGTGTCTATCCATGCTGTGCGAATAGAACGGACTGTAGAAGTACAATGAAAAGTATGAAAGCACTCGCTTAAGAATATCGAGAGCATAGAAAGAAACAAAAGAGTTGAAAAAAAAGAAGCAAGAAAAACGTGACATACAAAACATTTCTCCTCTCTTATACCACTTCTCCCTCAGTTCATCCCAGCCCCGTGTCTTCGCTTCACATATATCCAATACCGAACCTTCCGGGAACTTTCCTTCGCCCCTCTCCTTCCTCTCCCTCTCTTCCTTCTCCTCTTCTATTTTGTTTCGCTCTTCTTCTTCCCTACTCACCACATGCGGTTCGGCCCAATGCGTCCAGCCTGCCATATTCCCTGTGGAATTTTCCACAAGTTTCCAGGTGTGTGTATGAGGGGCATGGAGATACTTGGTGAAGACTTTGGTGAGCCAGGAGGTGAATACGGAGGGGGAAACTTGGGAGGAGGGCCAGCGGGCTAGGCGGAAGGGGTCGATTGCGAAGGCGAGGTCGTAGATGGTGAGCATGGAGGGGAGGTCGGCGGGGGTGCAGGGGTGGATAGAGAAGGAGGGGTTGGGGAAGGAGGGGATAGAGATGGGGGTCATGATGAGGAGATGGGGGGTTTGGAAGTTGGTGGAGAGGAGGGGGGTTTGTGGGATGAGGGGTTATGGAGGAAATGGATGAGGATGAAATCTTGTTTTGAATATTTAGTATTGAGTATACAGATATTGTTAAAGTTTTGATTGTGATGTTTTGTATATTTCAAAAAATACACGATTGATGAGTATTTGGAGAACATACTTATAATTCCATGACTCCTCCCACTTTCAGGGCAAGGAGTCTACTAATACTGAGATGATGAATATAGTCAGACCTGGCTATACAGGCACGTGCTATACGGGCATCCCCTTTATACAGGCATTTTTTCTAATTTCCTAAAAATTTATATAGTGAAATTGATGTAAACAAGCATTCCTTTATATAAAAGTATATAATCCTAAATTTCCCAATGTTCTTATAAAATTGGTAATATTAACCCAAACTTTGTTTTATTATATAATAAATTCATAAATTCACATAAGTTAACAAATTTAATGAAATTAGAAAGGCTGAAGGTATAAAATGAGGTTAAGTATATAAAACGAGACTAAACGATAAGACTGAAATTTTTTATACAAGCAACCCAGATATACGGGCATTTAGGCCTTGAAATTTTTAGGCCCGTATAGCCAGGTCTGACTGTATATACCCGGCCCATAGCGAGTTCAACATACGAGCCCGAATTCCTATCGGTGTTCATCATGTACAGTTCCATCAATTGGAAAGAGGGTTGTAAGATTACTTTGTTAGCAGTCAGATTTCACACCCCACAACTCATATTTTGACCCCGTAACCTAATACCTAGGTATGCGGAGTTTTGTCTCCCTATCCCGATGAATACATATTTCGGCATTCAGCCTTGTTGAGATGATTTATAAAACATGTCGCAATCATCGTATTTAATGATTGATATGACTCTTTATCTCCAAAGTCTCATGCAAGCAATTATATTTGAACCATGGATGAGATATATTACTCAATTAAAAAACATTCTGCTTCGAGTTGAGTCCGATGTGCGTGATTGAATCCAATTTCGGAGGTTTTTATGACCGTTGAATCGGCGTTGACCCTTCTTTCCCTACCTTCCTGGGTTCATTATCAATCATGTTGAACGTTATGAGAGAGGGGATTTAATCTAATTATCATCAATCAGCATTTGGATTCATACTGGCATATACTTTTGGTAATGATCACAGTAATGAATACCCTTTTTGACACGTTATCAGAGTTGCCATGGGGAATTGACTCCCTTTCGAGAGAAAATCTAACGATGTATTTCACATGCCCAATGTACAAATGCGATGATTTTAATCTTATTTTATGAATTTGATGATCATGGTGATCCAAGTTACCATTTTTTCCCTTCGTTTTTTTCTTCCGTGTGGTGTGCTCCTTCAAGTTCTAGAATTTGATTGCTTTGATGTTTCCTATGGAGTCAAATTTCAATTGTCCTTGAACTTCTTGAGTAAAGATTAACATCAGTATCGTATATCAACGTGGCTTTACAAGGATTGGACCGTCAAGGGCTATTGTGTGGCCCCGGAATAGAAGGTGCCTTGTGCCTATAACAAGCCGGGTCTTAATCTGTTGTGTACCTTACAGTGGCCGGTCACTTGGTGGGACGAATTGAGAGTAAGAAATGATCTTGAATTGAGGGTTGGACAGTTGCAATTACAGAAACTTCTCTGTGTACCATCCGGAACTCCTTCATCCTCATGGGTGGTAGGTAGTACTGTCTGTATTCATACCAGCTCGAATACCTGGTATGGGATGTAGCAAGAACGGATAATCGCACAGAAGAAGAAAAGAGATCGAAGAGGAGAAGAGAAGAGAAGGGAAGAGAACAGAACAGAACAAAAGAAAAGGAAGGAAAAACAATCAACACATAAATGATGAAAAAGGATAAACATGACGGTAATATAAAAATCAAAACCAAGCTCCGCCCTTCAAATTCCAGCTCCAGCTCCAGCTCCAGCTCTAGCTCTAATGCCAATAATTCCAATTCCACCTCCACTTTCACTACCGACGAAGATCATCCGGATACATAATACTATATGCTAGTCACTTTCCCAAGAGCAAATGAGAAATTAACTTGTGGAACTTATTTAGACGGAGTACGATGTGAAAAGTCCCAAAGTCATATGAATCTCCATACAAAACCACCCACGGAGAAATAATGTCGGTTCTCAGTGCAAATTGTGAACCGTGAACTGTCTGTTCTTGAAGACCTACCTTACCTACTATGTGCTACTACTACTGTAGCGAATACTTTGGGTATCTAGGTACAGTACCAGTTGTAGTAGTTCAAAACCAGGATTAAATGCCGAGTGCTTCGTAGATTGTACGGTGTGGCGTGGGGATATGCGAACAAATGCTAGATGCTAGATGCAAGATGCAAGATGCAAGATGCAATGCATGCAATACTGTGCAGTATTGAAAGGGAAAGGGAGAAATAAAAGTAATCATTATGACTAGGTAGGCTGGTAGGTCGATTGTGAAGAGAGAGCATAGATAGATAGATAGATAGATACCGGTAGCTTTCATAGACCTTTCCATCTCTGTCCCCTACACTTTCTTCTCTTTCCTTTTCCTTTTCCTTTTCCTTTTTTTTCTCCTTCTCCTTCTCCTTCTCCTTAAAATATCCAATGGTCAAATTTGGTAACTATTCACCAGGAATATATGAACTGACTGCAACCTCGCACGACCGTGATATTGGATAGACAAAAAGAAAGCGAATGGCCCCTATCCCCGAATCCTACCAAACCAATCCTCATAGCACACTTGCAAGCCCAATCTATGAATCAATAATCGCCGACTAACAAATAGTCTTACCAACAACTGCTGGCGCCAAAAGAACCAAAAAAAAAACCTGTCAAAATAAATATAGATATATTTCATTGGATGGTCAATTGTCAGACTCAGTACCTAACACATTGTTCCAAAGTTCCCAGCTCGAGAGGAGGAGGAGATAAAAAGAAACTTTGTTCAGCTCTCGTGGTAGTGCCTGGAACTAGGCCATCATGCAGAGTCAATCCTCCAGTACTACAGCAATCATGGTTTATCCACCTCGACCTGGTTCACAAAGTCCAACTTTAACTGAACCAGACATGATCCTCCCACTACATAATGAAACGAATTACGACTCAGAACCTTCATCGCGGCATACATCTTTTCAATTTACTTCTTCGTCGGGGGATTCATGGCAACGATCAAATAATTCGGAATATCTAGGTGGCCCGCCGCCTAGGACGCCCACCACGCCAATTATCTACGGGAATGGAACAATGTTATCAGATATAGGCGAGGTCACAGAGGTGGAAAGTACGCCAGGAAAGAAGTTACCGGGTCCTGCTGAACGAAGGTTCATCAAGCAACAGCAGCTTCAAAATGGTCATCGCATAAGTTCAACACCATTGGGGCATGATTTGAGGAGGTTGGGAACCAAGACCGGGACGCACGAGAGAAAAATATCTGTGGAATCTACTAGTACTGTCACGTCGGAACAACAATCGGCCATGTTTGGAGATATCGATGATACAGTCAGTGTAGATGATAGTAATTTCCAGGGTGATGATGAGGAGAGTGTGGCAGAATCGTATACGGATCCTTATCGCAAGGAACTTGTGGAACAGGAGACACGCAGATTGTCGCGCAGGGAAGGGAATTTTGGAGAGGGGGAAGATGATCAGAATTCGAGTGCCGCTTTGAGTAGGAGAGCGGAACAAATTCTATTGAATGCCAAACGTCGACTCAACGTGAGTTTTGTCAAGTCACAGAATGAGTTCATACACTGACAATTGTCTCTTTAGAATATGGAAGGGAATTTAACACGAGCGCGAAGCTCTCTTATTGTAACGCCATCAATTTCCATGCCTTCGATTTACAGTAGTAGTCCTTTAAACAATCCATCTCTCCTAAAAGTCGATCGGCGCATCATTAATATTCCTTCGAGACAACGATCATTTTCCAATTTTCATACAGATTCAACTGCTTCGAGTCCTGGTCATTCGAGGGTCTGGAGCGAGAATAACATATCCCCTTCGCGAGCCACAGCATTTCCTGTTCGCGCCTCGAGCGCGGCAGCTACATACAGGGCTAGAAGTTCCATGGGATCGCATACACCAAAACCAGCATCGCCACTTTCACCGGGCATGATCAAGGAGGAGAGCAATGAAAATGGAAGGCCAAGAGGATCCGGGCAGTCTCCACCACATAGCAGGATTTCTCCTTCACAGCCATCGCATCTTGAACCCCTGGTCGAGGATGGCGTTCCTGAATTTGACGGCAGGACTAATGGCAGGACTGATACTGACAGGGAATATCCAACTGCCCGAGAAGGACTTTTAAGTCGCTCTTCGTCGACTTCAAGCATAAGAATGCAGGATATACAACATCAAATGAGTGATCTGAAAGGAAGATTGTCCGCTTTACGAGATCGCGCTAGAGATGACAATATGAAGCGTCGCAGTCTCCAAAGCTTACGTACTCCTAGCCCATTTACTGCAGGAGAACAGTGGTATAGTGGAGGAGTTAATGGTCAAGATGTCGTTTCCAAGACAGATTCAGTAGTAGATCATGTTCAGTCGAATGGGATCCAGAATGGCGACCCTACGAAGAATGGATACACTGCACAGCCGACTCAAGTATCTGCAAAAAAGGTTCCGACCTATGCCGAATCGGATGCTACAAGTATATATGAAGATGTTGATGAGGGCCAGGTAAAGCCACCTGGGTTCTCTACTCATCAGAATCAAACAGAAGTAGTTGAAGAGGAGAGCTATGATACTTGCTCAGAGGTGTCTGAAGTTTCAGGCAATGATAGTTACAGTGACGACCGTTCAGAATTTGACGAATTTGACAACGAGGACAACAGTGATGCATCAATTTATCACGAATCGGTAACCGAACAGGTATCACACGAAGACCGTGAAGATGCGTTCGATTATGAACATTTCTTCCTGTACAGCGCAATGGGTACGATGAGCCGAGAAAGACGAGGAAGCATCAGCTCAGAGGATTCTGTGGAAACAACCCGAGGACCTTCAGTTCCAATGCCACTTGTAGAGAATGGCCATGACCCCAGTCAGCGATCTTCTATGGTACATCTTAGATCTGACAGTAATACTTCGATTTCTACTCTAGCCACTTTTGCAACTGCCAAGTCAAACGTGGAGGATGATGAATATAATGAAGATGAAGATCCTTTC